GCGGCGACGCCAACGCCGACCCCGTCACCGACGCCGACGCCGACGCCGACGCCGACGCCGACGACGAGGACGACGACGACGGCGACGGAGGAGGCCAGAGCGGCCTCCCTCGGGGCGAAGCCGCCGGAGGCACGAGGGCCGACCCGAACTCAGGTGCCCGCCCTGGAACGGGACCCGAGGCGGATGCCGACGACGGCGCGCCCGGACAGGACACGGAAATGGACACAGACAGCGGGCTCGCCCGACCGACGCTCGACACCCAGGCGGCAGACAGAGCCGATAGACATCCTGGCACGACGTTTGCCCAGCACGACCTTGACGGGAACCCAGATCCCTTGCCCAACGGCGGGCCTCCCGCAGCCCTCCGGGAGCCCGGCCTCCCCACGGCACGGCGTTCCCCCCCCGGGTTCGACGGTGCCCCTCGGGGGAGCACGGCTCCATCACACCTTCTTTTGCAACGGCGAATTGCGCTCCTCGTCGCCACGTCCCCAGTCCCCAGACCTGGCGAGCCCTCGTCGCCGCGGCTGGACTCTCGGGGAGTCGGAGAACGCGGCGGCGGAGGAAGGGGAATCCTGGCACCGACGCGCGTCCCGGACGTCCCTCGTCACCACGGAACCCAGCGGCACAATCCAGTCGGAGCGGCGCGCGGCGCGCGGCGTCCGTCCTTGCAGCCCGCCGGGCCAGCGGCTGGGTCATCGCCGACAAGCTTCAGTACGTGAACCCACCGCCCGCCCCGGAGGCTCTTCGCACCTCCCCAATAACGATGGACGCTGGCGGCTCCAGCACAACGGGCTGCGAGGGTGCGAGGGGGGACACCTCTGCCTGCACGGTGGGAGCTCCTGCTCCTCGTCAAAGACACTTGGACCGCTTCGCCGGACACCCGTGTCCTCTGGGATCGTTTACCTCGGACTACAGGAAGCAGGGCAAGGGGCGGGCGCGTCCAGACGATATCCCACCACGCGTCCTGCTCGACTTTCTCAGCTCAAAGGGAGCCGTGGTGGCCCGGGACAGGAGGGCGCAGCAAACTTGTGGTAAACCTGGGGCGGCCTGGAACAAATTTTGCGCACTGCGTGGCGGCGGCGCCCGCGACCCCGGCCGGCACGACGCCACTTTCCTCCGCTGCTTCCTCCGCTATGCCCCGCCACCCCTGTGCCCCCAATCCCAGGATACAGCATCACACTTTCCTGCACCACTTAGGTCCCTCGACCTGGCCCACCCTGTCCACCCCGGCAGTGGGGGCCGCTGGCCCTTGCCACAGTGTTAACTTGCCGCAGAGCTCCGGCTGCTGTCCAAAACCCCAGCCACACCGCCCAGCGTGAGCGTGCGGCACGCAGCCTGCTGCCCTGCCGCCGGCGCGGCCTCGGCGTTGCCGCCCCGCCTGCGGTGCGGGGCTTCCTGCAGGCGGGGCGTTCCTCCTCCCTATTTCCCCTTTCCCCCCCCCCCTGCCCGCTCTCCCCCACTCCGCGCGCCGCGGTGGCGCCTGATGCCTGCAGCCGCCTCGCGCGCGGGATCGCGGGCCTGATCTTGCCGCCTGTTCCCCCACGCTGGCCCAGCATTTTGCTGGATGCCCTCCGACCAGGATGCAGTTCCACTTGCCGCACCTTGCCCTGCGCCCCCACCTGGGCGGCGCGCGGCCCGCCGGCCTTGCACCTCGTGCTCCACGTAGGCTGCTCGCTGCATCGTTTTGACTTGCGGTACCCCCACCCCAGACCCCCGACGTCATGATTTTTTCATGATGTCGACCCCCCGAGGTCTCGACCCATTCCCCGGGACCAGTTTTTCGTCCTGAGTCGTTTTTTGACGGTCCCGAGGGCCGGTAAGGGCCCCCAAAGGCCAAAAATAATGAAAAACCTCCCGTCGCGATTTTTTCATAACTCGAGGGGGTCTGGGACTGGGCCCCGCCTCGGCAGGTGCCCCGGCGCAGCAGCCGCTTCAGTCCCCGCCGGCGGGGCTGGCCGCGCCAGCTCACCCAGGGAAATGATCCCTCCCCCCCGAGACCCTCGCCCTGCCCCCCCTTCTGCGGCCGCCCGCTCTGTCCCGCTTCCCCGCGCTTGCATGCTGGCCACTTCGCCACAACGGTGCCCCCGTTTAGTTAGCTACTTCCGCCCGTGCAGACTATCCCTGCCCAGCCGCCGACGCAACAGAAACAAGTCTACCGAGCAAGAGCGTGCCTCGACTGCGAGCCCGACGGGGAGCCTTCTCAGAAGGGTCGGAAGTCCCCAAGCCTTCCGAAAGGTGTTCTAAACCTTCCCCGAAAACGCCCAAGAAACTCGCAGAAGGCGCGGGGGGGGTCTGAGAAGCCCCGCTGCCTTCTGAGAGGGCATTTTCCTTCTAACCTACCCCCTCGTTCGCCGCCGAGATCAGTGTGCAACGTCGCCGTCGCCATTGTCGCCACCGTCATCGTCGCCGTCGCCGCCATTGTCGTCGGCGTCACCGCTCTCGCTGTCGCCGCCGTCGCCGAGGCTGACGCCGCCGTGGCGGCAATCGCCGCCCTCACCCCCCCCACACGAGATGTGATACGAACCGCGCTGGCGAAACAATTCCATGAGAAGTTCCCAGAATCCTTCTCGGCTGCGAGGGAGGGGAGGAAGTGAGAAGAAGAAGGCCCTCTCAGAAGGCGGCGGGGCTTCTCAGAAGCCCCCCGGCCTTCTGAGAGGTTTTCTCTGTCTTCATGGAAGACTCGGACAACTTTTTAGAAGATCAGGGCCTTCCGCGCCTTCTGAGAAGGCCCGCCCTTTCTCACTTTCCCATCGGGCTCGCCGCCGAATAACACTTACGCAGGCGACAGCGAAAATAAAATAACCATACTTACACAAGAACACCTTGCGATATATGCAGCATTCTGAACTGTTCCGCCAAACGACTTTGGGCAACGCGCGTCGCGCACCTGAACGGCTCACATCGCAAAAGGGGCGGCGCTGGCAAGCACGACAAGGAATCTAAACGGGAGGCAGAAGTGTAGGAGGAGGAGGAGGATGTGGAGGGGGAAGGAAGACGATCAAAATGGAGAACGAAAAGGAAGACATACTGGTAAGAGTAGCAGCGCCATCCGCTACATCTGCCCGGTTCGTCCATGCTGTTGCTGCGGGCGGTAAGCACAACTGCGAAATCGGCCGCCAAGGACGTCGCCACGCGCCACGACTCGCTCCAGCGCTCTGCGGCCTGTGATTCAATGGCGCCGCGCGCGAAGTGAAAGTCCCCCAATGAAAAATCCGCGTGACTACTACCCACTCCGCTGGACCTCCCATGAGCCCACGAAACTAAGTAGTGACAATTGCCCATTTCGCAACACCCCAACGAAGCGTGAGGTCCCGCAGGCATCCACGTGACTACTGCCCAATCCGTTGACCTCCAAGAAGCCCGCGGAGGTGGCGGCAGTTGCGCAATTTGCAGCGCCCTAGGGAGCCACGAGGTCCCGCAGGCATCAACATGACTTCCCACGCCGCTGGACCTCCCAGGAACCCACGGAAATGTCGACAAATGCGCAAATTGCAACGCCCCCAGGAGGCGCGAGGTCCCGAAAGGACATGCGTGACTTCCCACTCCGCTAGACCTCCCAGGAGCCCACGGAGGCGGCGACAATTGAGAAATTCGCAGCCCCCCCGCCCCCTCCTCCCCCCCCTCATGGAGCCGCGAGGTCCCGCAAGGGTCTTTGCGACTACCCACTCCGCTGGACCTACCAAGAGCTCAAGGAAGTGGCGACAATTGCGAACATCGCAGCCCCACTCCACCCAAGGAGCCGGGAGGTCCCGCAAAGATCTGTGTGACTACCCACTCTGCTGGACCTCCCAGGAGCCTACGAAGGTGGCGACGATTGCGCAACATGCGATGCAAAAGGGAGGCGCGAGGTCCCGCAGGGATCTGCGGAACTACCCGCACCGCTGGACCTCCCAGGAGCACACCGAAGCGGCGTCAATCGCGAAAATCGAAGCCCCCCCCCCCCCACAGGGGAGCCGCGAGGTCCCACACGGATGCTTGTGACTACCCACTCCGCTGGACCTCCCAGGAGCCCACGGAGGCGGCGACAGCTGCGCAATTCTCAGCGCCCCAGGGAGGCGCGAGGTGTCGCCAGGATCTGCGTGACCTCCCGCGCCGCTGGACCTCCCAGGAGCCCGCGCAGCCCTCAACGCCCCCAGGGAGGCGCGAGGTACCGCAAAAGGTTCCGCGCCACTGCCCGCTCCGCTGGGCCTCCTCGTGCCTGCTGGCTGCTCGTCGCCTGGGGCGGACGTGGCCGTCCTGGCGCACCTTTGTCAGCAGGGAATGACGCTGTGCTAGGTTGACGATTATTCCTCGGGCCCTTGAAACAGTGACCGAAAGAGGTTGGCCTAATGGATGCATCGATCAAATTTGCCAAATGGTGCAACTCTATTAAACGAGGCCCAAATCCAGCGACGTGGGAGTGATGTGCCCCCGGGAGGTCCAGGCCATGGCGGAGCGCGGCGCGGAGCTGCGGCAGTGCAAGGCGTGGGTCGCCGAGGACAGTGGTCGCGCGGCGCTCCAGAGGTGGCTCAGGCGTTGGCGGCGCCGTTGCTGCGCGGGTGCGTCTGCTGCTGCCCGGAGCGCTTCTGCCCTAGGGCGTGGAGGCAGAGCAGGGCCTATGGCAGGCAAGAGGCGCGACGCTGCCGTGGCGCCAGCGGTGTGTTAGCTGACGGGGGCGAGGTTGCTGGCACGCCGAAGCACCGCTGGGCCTGCTGCCCCGGTTTGCGGCACCATCGGGAGGCGCTCCCGCCTCGTTGGCAGCACGCGAGGGCCACCAGCAACGACCGTTGGCCGTGGGACCGGGCGCTGCTCCCCCATCAAGGTCTTCGTCGACCCTGCGAGGCCCAGTTCCTCGATGAGCATTGGGAAGGGGAAGACTGCTACCCCACGGGGGACGTCGGCACCGATGGCAGCTTGAAGGGGCGCTGGAAGTGGTTCGGCCGAGGGGGCTGGGCAGCCGTGATGATGGATCCCGAGGGCGCCGTCGTTCAGGTGGCTGTTTGGGGGCCGCTGCCTCAAAGCCTGCCCGTGAACGGAACATTGACCGCGCCGAGCTGCAGGCCATCGAGCGCGCCCTGGCGCACGCCCTCCCGCCGCTGGTCCTGCATGTCGGCAGGCAGTCCGTCATTGATGGAGTGGCCGCTGGTGAGCGGTGGTGCACCGCCTCACGCCGCCCGAATACAGACTTGTGGCGACAGGTATGGGCAAGGCTGCGGGACATCGGGCTGGGCCCCAACGGCGTGCAGTTCCGCAAAGTGAAGATCCATCGCTCCGCGGCCGTGATGGAGTCGCTGGATTCCGAGCAACGGCGCGTCGCCCAGGCCAACAAAGCGGCGGACGAACGAACGGGCCGCGGAGCTGAATGCGGCACCAGTGTCGTGCTGCAGTACATCGACAAAGCCTGCATTGCAGCGGCGGAGAAGATCCACTACGTGTTGAATTCCCAGACAGAGATCACCACGCGGGTCTTGGACGAAAACTCCCGGTGGCCTGATGTGCCGGAATTGCCGAAGTCTCGCCACGGCGCCAGACCCAGTCCAGCTCGTGCCACACCCAGCTCAGGCCCACGACGTTCAGCGTCGGCCGGTTGGTCGGTGGGAAAGCGTGAGATGCCACCGCCGCGCACCGTTGCAGGTGCTGCCGGACGAATGCTGCAGAGGGCACGTCGCCGCCAAACTCCCCATGGTGTTCGCGACGGCTGGCGCCTTCTCGAACGGCCACCGACTGTGGAAGACGTCGACGTGGGTATGGTGCCAGCGGTGCGGCCAGCACGCCCAGCGCCGCCTGGCAGGCCTCCGCGGCGGTTGCCATGGCTGCCCCAAGCAGCCGTGGCACCTTGCGAACCTGCGCGCGGGCAGGGCGCCGAAGGCTCACGCCGACGGTCCTCAGGTGGGGGTCCCAACCCCTCTCACCGAGGCAGAATGGGAAGAGTGGCTGGCGCGGCGCGGGTGAGTGGGCCGCCACGCGGGAGGCTGAGGGTGCCGCCATAGTGTAGCTATACTGGCGTGCAGGCGGCTCTGTCACACCGTGGCCTGCCGTCGCTAATCTGCGCCGACCATCCACCCCTCCACATCCTCCTCCTACTCCTACTCCTCCTTCGCCCTCTCCCCCCCCATCCCGCCTCCCCCTGCTACAATCCGCCATCCCCCTCCTCCCCCTCCCTGGCCCAACCCCCTCCTCCCCTGCCCTCCCTGGGGTCTTGGGCGTTCGCGAAGCGGCCCTGGCTGTGTAGCTGCTGCCCCTGCAGCGGCGGCACCTGGTACGCACGGGGCCAAGCTTCATCTAGCCACGCCATCCGTTCATCCAATCACCCGTCCTCATCATCCCTTTCCTTGGACATCACCCCTCCTCCAACACATCGTCATTATCATGATCACCATAACCTGCATTACCATGGCACAGCCGCTATCATTATCCTCATCCTCACCCTCATCCTCATCAACATCAGCATCATCAGCAGCATCGTCATCATCAGCATCATCAGCAGCATCAACATCAGCATCGGCATCAGCATCGGCATCAGCATCATCAGCATACTATTCATCATCAGTATCATCATCACCATCATCATAATAATCATCATCATAATCATCATCATCATCGTCATCATCATCATCATCATCATCATCATCATCATCATCATGATCATCCTCAGCATCAGCAGCATCATCATCACCTTCATCAGTATCAGCATCATCAGCATCATCAGCATCAGCATCACCATCGTCACCATCGTCATCATCTCATCATCACCAGCATCAGCATCAACATCATCATCATCAGCATCGCCATCATCATCGGCATAATCATCGTCATCGTCGTTGGCGGCGGGGGCGTCGCGGTCGTGGTCGTGGTCGTCGTCGTCGTCGTCAACAGGAGCAGCAGCATCGACGACATCAGCAAGGTAGACTTCATAGCATCATCGTCATTATCATAAACACCATCATCAGAATCGTCAGCAGCATCACCATCGGCATCGTCATTCGAATCACCCTTATCACCAGCAGTATCAGCATCATCAGCATCAGGATCATCATCATCATCATCATCATCATCATCATCATCATCATCATCATAACCACCACCCGGATCACCAGCAGCATCATCATCATCAACCACATCATCAGCATCGTTGTCGTCGTCCGCATCATCCTCATCACCCGTAGCATCAGCAAGATCCTCGTCGTCATCATCATCATCAACATTGTCATCCGAATCGTCATCATCACCAACCTCATCATCATAAATATCATCAACCGCACCGTCCTAATCATGACCATTACCGTCATTATCATTACCACGCATCGTGATCCTCGTCATCGGAAGCGTCAGTATCATCATGAGCAGTCTGAGCATCCCCACAATCGTCATCATCACCACCACCAGCGCAGCATCAACATCAACATTCACATCCTCTTCATCCTCTTCATCATCATCATCATCATCATCATCATCATCATGCCAACCATCATCATCAGCATCATTAGGGTCACCAACATGAGTAGCATCATCAGCATCAGCATCAGCAGCACCGTCATCCGCAGGCATCATCATCATCATCATCATCATCATCATCATCGTCATCATCATCATCATCATCATCATCATCAGTCTCATCACCATCATCATCAGCAGCAGCATCAGCATCCCCGTCAACAACAGAAAGAGCATCATCAGCAGATCCGCAGCATCATCATCGTCAGTATCACAACCCTCATCGTCATGCCCACCTGCGTTAGTTGCGTATGTATGTCTGTTCGACACGCTCGGTCACCGTGGTGACAGGCATGCAACTTCAGAGTGGGAGACCCGACGGCCAGAAGCGCGACCGCCTGCCATCATGGTTACCTTTACGAGCAGAGCGTGAAACAGAAGAGGTGGCGTCCCCCAAGGCGACCGCTTCAGCGGTAAACGACGAGATCGGGCTTTCGAAAGATGTGCATCGCAATGCGATGGGAAACGTGCGGCGACGGCAGCCTTGTGCGACGACGGCTTCCTCTACCCAGGCGGCCGCGGGACAGCGGGCATGTCGACCTCCGCCGTCCGAATGGTAGACATCGTTGGCCGCGCGCTGGCGCAACCCTGGCACTGCAGGCTTGCGCTAAGTGCGCCCAACATCCATGGTGAAGTTGGCCAGGAAACCCGCGATCATATAGTGCGGGCGCGGCCGCAAGAAACCCTCGCAAGAAACCCAACCCTGAGAATCCGTGCGCGAGGTGCACCTGAGGGGAAACCTGGAGCACCCTGAACGCAGCAGCTCAATTCAACTGCTGCGGGAGGTCACCGCGCAGCGCGAGGAGCGAAGAAACCCAGGATACCCTGGCGAAAAGCAGATGGCTTCTTGGTGCGCGCCCCCACTGTACTGCTCTCCTCCTCATCCTCATCCTCTTCCCCCTCTGATCTCCACCTCCTCCTCCTTCTCCTCATCCTGCGCTGCCGCTCCTCGTCCTCCTTGGACCGCCTTCTCCTTCTCTTCCTCCTCGTCCTCTTCGTTCCGCTTCGATGCGGCGGGCAGGTTGCCGACAGATGTGGAACAAAAACCATGAA